TTCCTTTATCTATGCAAAAGGAAATGTTAAATTTAATTCATGAGGGTCATTTTGGTATAGAAAAATGTAAGAAAAGAGCTAGAGATGTTTTGTTTTGGCCACTTATGAACAAGCAGATAGAAGAATAAAATTTCAAAATGTTCTATATGTAATGAATACCAGAACAAAAAACATAAGAGAGCCTATGATACCACATGAAATTCCCAATTTACCTTGGTATAAAGTTGCGACAGATTTATTTGAGATTAACAAAGATGTATATTTATTAATTGTAGATTACTATTCCAACTTTTTTGAAATCTCCAAACTACCGGATACTCGAAGTCAGACAGTGATCAGTTACATGAAATCTCATTTTGCAAGATACGGTATACCATTGATAGTGATATCTGATAATGGACCTCAGTTTGCAAGTAAAGAATTTGCAGAATTTGCAAAGAAATACCAATTTAAAGATATAACAAGCCGTCCATACCATCCACAGTCGAACGGATTAGCAGAGCGTTCAGTACAAACGGCGAAGAAATTGTTAAGCTCAAGCAGATCAGGCTGATCCTTATTTAGCATTTCTCGTAAGAGAGCGTGGGTTCGAACCCCACTCCTAACACCATATATTATTATGAGGGTACACTTTTAGCTTTTAGAAACTATTTATTTACATTCTTAGAATGTAAAATCACAGAGAACTGCAATACCAGCATAGTTCTATTATGATATATTATTATGAGATAATATATTATCTGTTATAATCTATGGTTTCTGACGCGGTTTGATTTCTAGTAAAGAATAAATGTCTTTCATATGTAATATTTTTCTTAGGAATACAATATTCCGTAAATTTTGTTTTAATTTCACTTAATTTTAATTTCTTTACCCTCTTCTATAGGAAATGTATGATATATACAAAATACATTTCCTATAGAAGAGGGTAAAGAAATTAAATTAAGTGAAATTAAAACAAAATTTACGGAATATTGTATTCCTAAGAAAAATATTACATATGAAAGACATTTATTCTTTACAAATACATTGTATGTTTATATCGTCTGTAGTGAAGCATTCTAGTTCAAGAGGAGTTGCCCTACAGTCACTCTTCCACACTCTCCTTCCCTACTGCTGCGTGAGTAAACAAGCTGCCGGCGCACGCACCTGTACGCGCTCTTCTGCGAATATTATTGTTTTGTAAATAAAATACTGTTTTATAAAATGCTAGAGTTCATCTCATAGCAGCATCTAAGATAACAACATGCACATAGTCGACTCAGGCGAACGCAGTTCGCAAACATCAGGCACCCGCGTGGCAGCGTTATGCCGGCTAACCATGTTGACGATTTTCGATCTGTAATGAGTCCGAGCATAAAAGAGGGAGAACATTAGGTTGAAAACCTCGCAGGGAAAAGCAATTATACATCACAGTAGACATCATGTCGATCAGGAACAGTGTAGGAAGTGAAAAAACTCCTCGATGAAATGTTTCAAGGTTACATTAGTGGCGACGCTCAAATTAGGCTAGGAAATGCAAGTAAGTTGCGGAGTACTTTAACTTAGGAAGCAAAAATTAAGGAGTGCAAAAATACCCAGCAGTCTTAACCAAAGCAAGAGATGGTTCCAAAAGTTAAACAGTTAGATATAAACATTTAAATACAGAAGAAATACTATTTTTTAAACATTCTATTACATATTTTATAAATGTTTGAGATATCTACTAAGAATTAGCACAAAATAAGCGACGTAGGAATTAAAGTTAATTTTAACCGCTTATTTCTTCCATAACAGAGTAGAGGATGTTAGATTTAGTACCTAAGTCATTTGCAGCCTGCATTGTTGGATTTCAAAACAATGTAGTTTGTATTTTGTATTTTACTTTCCTTTAAATTATACTTACAATTTTACAATGCTTATTACTTTTACTTTTTGGCCACTAATAATTGTTGTTAGTTTGGTTTCATGTGAATGGCAGCAAGGCAATTTATGGAATTAGAAAAATATGTTTCTGCAGTTAGTTAGGCTTATTGAAGATTAATTGTATGTTATATACCTGAGTGATGTTTTATTAAATAAATGAATACTTTAGAATATAGTAGTCTCTTTAGAGTCCGTGATACGTTGGTAGCATAATAGTTTGACGCATAAGCGAACATTTTATTGGTACCCTCGGTAGGACATAAGAGACGTTAGTTTGGAATTCTAAAGTATAAAAATGGAAGCTAAAGAAGCTATTAAACTTGAAAAGAAGATTCACAGAGCTGCTTTTACAAAATCCCTCAATGTTTTAGAAGAAATTTTAAAGAAAAGTGAGATAAATTCTTCTGAATTACAGTCAGAGCTTAATGTTTTTTGTTTCGAAAGCTCAACGTTCGGAAGGTACGCACGTATGTTATCTTAGCACACTGTCCGAAAACGAAATTGAATCAGAATTCGATGTTATTGAAGATTATCGTGACAAGGCCGTTAGATTCGAAACTAAAGTGAAAGATATTCTTCAGAATCTACAAAATGTAAGTGCTTTAAATTTAATTTTGAATGAATCTGTTAATGAGAATGTATGTAAACGTACATTTAAACTTCAAAAGCTTGAATTACGAAAATTTGATGGGGAAATTAAGGAATGGTTATTTTTTTGGAATCAGTTTGAAAAAATTGACAAAGGTGCTGCGATTTCTGATAGTGATAAATTTCAATATTTATTACAAGCGACTGTTGAAGGTTCGCGTGTAAGGGAGGTTAGAGAAAGTTTTCCTCCAACATCTGCTAATTATCCCAAGGCCATAGAATTTTTGAAGGCTCGTTTTGGTCGAAATGATTTGCAAGTGGAAGTTTATGTGAGAGAATTGTTGAAATTGGTCCTGAGAAATGCAAATTCTAGTAATTCCTGTAATACCTTATGTGCATTATATGATAATCACTACAGATAAAAATGCTGCATTACTTTATTCTTTAGTTGAATCTTGCTTGCCGGAGGATTTTTTAAGAACCTATCAAAGACGTGCAAATGTTGACCATGGTCCAGACCCAAAATGTAGACTGGACATTTTATTAAATTTTTTTAAATCAGAAGTAGAATCAGAAGAACGCTGAACAATATTTTGACTCTAATATTTTTGTTTATATATAACTGCAGCTTCTGAGTAATATTGCATGAGCTTCAAGCAGATGCAATCGTTTTCTTTACTCTATAGGTTTTTTTTTATTCATTATCTATTCATATTATTATTATCTATGTTTTGTAACAGTTTATGTTTCAGAGAATGGCAACATACAATGATGCTGTTCTTTTTTAGAGAGTTAAGTGTAACTTTTGTTTTCATCATTTGAGAGTATGAATAAAAGAACTATTTAATTATTGTAGTCATAAATAACTAAAGAGATATAGATAGTTATTTTCCAAGTAATAAATAGTTCTTGAGGTAACAAATTTGGTGAGAATTTTTGAACAAACACATAAATTTAGCTATGGCTGGTTTTGGGTTGAAGAATGAAGTGACATGGGGGATTAAATCTATTAAAACTGTTCACGATTGACCATCAAAGGCAGCAAGTTTGTTGAGTACTGATTATCTCGCTAAGAAGTGTGTGTTTTGCTGTGGAAAACATGATTCATTTAATTGTTTTAAGGCTAAAAAAATGCCATTTTCAGAGAGGCAAAAACTCTTAAAAGATAAAAGTCACTGCTTTCGCTGTTTAAAGGCTGGTCACTGTGCAAATAAATGCAGGAGTTCTATTAAATGTGCAATTTCCCATAAAATTCACAGCGTAATTATATGTTTAGAACTGCTTAAAAATAAAACAAATGTTAAGAATCCTATGTTAAACAGCAATGAAAAAGAAACTAGAAAGGAAGAAAGTTCTGTAAATCTTTCTAGTGTTAGCAACACACCACAAGTACTTTTGCAAACCCTAAAAGTAAAAATAATTGGAAATAATTGTACACTTTGTGTTCGAGCTTTATATGACACAGGATCGCAAAAATCGTATTTAAAGAAGGATTTAATTTCTACTCTAGGCCTGATACCTTCTAGATAAAAGATTTTGAGCCACGCTCTGTTTGGAGGAAAACGAACATCTGAAAATTTACATAATGTCTACAAAATAAAGCTAAAGAATTTAGACGATAACTTTACTTGTACTTTTGATATTTATGAGCAAGATACAATTTGTGATGCTGTACCTTCTGACTTAAATGGACCATGGAATAAAGAGCTCCAGTCCATTTTATGACACTGAAGATTCATCAGGGCCTATTGATCTTTTAATTGGTGCAGATGTGGCTGGTCGACTTTTCCCCGACAGAAAAAGAGTACTTTTTAGTGGTATTGTAGCCATAGAAACTTACCTGGGCTGGACATTAATTAGTAAAACATCAGTGAATGCTAAAAGGGAAAATACGGCGATGACGGTTGTAACAATGTTTGTGAAAGATGCCAATATTTCCTACCTTTCTTCTTTAGACAGCTTAGGAATATCCGATACAGTCGAAGTTAAATCACGAAAGGAAAAGGAATTTACTACGAAGAAATATTTGCAAGAGAAGACTAAGAATTAAGGATGATAGGCGGTACGAAGTTGCCTTACGCATGGAGAGATGATCATTTGCCTCTTCCTCACCTAACAAAGATACAGCGATAAGAAGACTTGCAGTCTCAACAAAAAGGCTGAATTTAAAAAAAAATATTTGATACCTATGATGATGACTTTAAGCAATGGACTGAATTGGGAATAACAGATGATGTCACAGATGCGCATTCACACCTTCCTGGGATCCAGAATCCAGCTGATTTGCCTTCTCGAGGATGTTCCGCTAGACAACTGTTATTAAGCAAATGATGGAAGGGACCCACCTGGTTATTAGAATCATCATCTAACTGGTCTGTCACAGAAAAAATATTGACGAGCATTCTATAGCTAAGGAAAAGAGAAAAACAAAATCTGATGAGCACTCTTCTATCTGTTCTCTAAGTTACTTAAACAATTGTAGCCGCAAAACTGTTGAAAAGAAAAGTAATGGATACAGACATTACGGATCAAGTTGGTACAATTATTATTTTTCAAGCTATGACAAAGTGATACGATTGATTGCTTGGATAAAAAGATTTATCTTTAATTATCTAAATTCAAATTCTTCGCGAATTATTGGCGAGCGAATTATTCGCGAATTTATATATGGAGGAGCCAATCCTTTTCATTCGGTGAATTCTTTGGGTGAAATGACAAAATATAAAGTCAGGAAAAAGAAATTGTGGCCTCATCCAAATATAGTTGAAATGTATTTTGATTTTACTGATCAAACACCTTTGCTTCCTGGTGCCTTCCCCAACTATCCACAAGCCTTTCCTATTCGTCTTCTTAGTGATGGATGTGGTAGAAATATGACTCTGTTTCTTGTTATGAAGATATACAATTGCAATTTAAAAGAATGTTTGAGAAGAATGGATGTTTCTGGTCACAGAGCATTGCGACTGCATACTCAGCTTTTGAAAGCTTTAGTGCTCTTGTTTCAAAATGATATTATTCATCGAGATTTAAAGACTGACAGTATTAAATTTCCAGTACGGA